GTCATTTACATTAGGCTGTGAGCTTCTTGAGACCAGAACTGTCTTTTCTCTTTCTTTGTATCCCCAGTTCTTCACATAGTGCTTGACACATAGTTGGCACTTACCAAATGTTTTTTGATTGACTTATTTATCCCAATTGAGTTTCAACTTATTAGATTCATCCCAATAATTTGTCAAAATCCTTTTCAATTCTGTCTGACATCCATTCTGTTAATACAGCTGCCAAGCGCTGCATGAAGATATTTAGATATTATCTCATTTTATCCTTACAATAACCCTGTAAGGGAGGTACTATTTTCAGCCTCATTTTATAGTTGAGTAAACTTAGGTAGGCCAATATTAAGTTACTTGCAGTAAGTCTGAGGCTTGATTTTTAGCTCAGTTTTTCTTGACTGCAGGCCCAGTCCTCTATCCATTTTATTGCCTAGCTGCCCATAGTAATCACTTATAAATTATATAGTACTTTAAGGTTTTCAAAATGTTAATCTCTTTTGAAATATAAAAACTTACTTTGATTTATAGAGTTATTTGGGCTTAATTTAATGATAATTTATTGGAACAGTAAGAATAGAGAGTTGGTATAGCAATTATCTCAGCCATATTTGATTGTGAATTGACATTCCAAGCTATAATTGAAAGTGTTTTCCTTTGGTGGAACTGAAAAGACACAAGGCAACTAAAATTATATAGCAAGATAGCCCTCTAGTGGCTAGAATAAGTTCAAAGCATATTGAACGTTAATTGAGGTTAAATCCTATTTTGTCTTTGGGCTCTTAAACGTTTTCTCTAAATATGTCTGGAAAATATGTCTTCCTCAGGATTAGAGACTGGAATTGAAACAGAATTTGGACAGAGCCTTAAGGGAACATAGAAAATCAGAGTTAAAAATATTCCCTTCAGAGATCTAGCTCCTGTTCCCCACCTAACTCACCCCTCCAGGAAGGAATTATTGTAGGTCCTATGCAGGGAATGGCAATTAGGAACATCAAATATGGAAAGAATAGTTTGAGCTAATGCTGAAAAAGTTGGTTGGAGCCAGCTTATGGAAGGGGTCTTGAAAATTAGGCTAAAGAGGCAATAGAAAGATTTGGTAAGAGCTGTACATTAAGCATCATTCTATAGGGTGGATTGAAGAAAAAAATAATTCCAAAGGTTACTAACATTGCAATAGTTCAATGAAGAGTTAATGTGGGTCTGAATTATAGTGGTGATAGTAGAAATAGTAAGGAGTGGGGAAGATGTAAATGATGATAAAAGAATCAAAGGACAGTTGGATTGGGGGGATTTGAAAGGTAAAATGAGTAAAATATAGCTATGTTTATCAGCATGTTTGTGTGGAGAATGGTGGCACCATTTACAAAAATTTGGGAATCAGGAGAATTTAGCAGAAAGATTTCAGTTTTAGATAAGTCAAATATGAGGTACTGATGAGACATCCATGTACATGTGACCAGTTAAATAGATGTTAAAAAAAAATCTCATGTCTAAATAATTTTTAAGGACAAAATCCAAGCCATATGAAAAAGTGGTCTTGTGGAGAAAGGCCAATTAAAAGAACTTTGAAGCTCCACCTCACATCCATTAGATTAACAGACTTGACAAAAAAGCAGAGTGGTAAATGTGACTTTTGGTAGAGCTGTGAATTGGGCCAGTCATTCTGGAAAAAAATTGTAGGTATGCCTAAATGATTACTAAACTGGGCACTTCCCTCTGACCCAGTAATACCACAGTAAAGCCCGTACCCCAAAGAAATGAAAGGAAAAGGACCCATTATGTACAAAAGTATTTACAGAAGCTCTTTTTGTAATGTAAGAACTAGAAACTAAAGGAGTGACCATCAGTTGGGGAATGTCTGAACAGGTTGTTCTGTATGATAGTAATGGAATACTGTTGTGCTATAAGAAATGATGATCGATTAGAGAAATGCAAATCAAAACAACTTTGAGGTACCACATCACACCTATCAGATTGGCTAATATGACAAAACAGGAAAACGATAAATGTTGGAGATGTGGAAAATTGGAACACTAATGCATTGTTGGTGGAGTTGTGAACTGATCCAGTCATTCTGAAGAGTAATTTGGAACTATGCCCAAAGGGCTATAAAACTGTACCTATCCTTTGATCTAGTAATGCCACTTCTAGGTCTGTATCCCAAAGAGATCATACAAATGGGAAAAGGACCCACATGTACAAAAATATTTATAGCAGCTCTTTGTGTGGTGGCAAAGAATTGGAAATTGAAGGGATACCCAGTTGGGGAATGGCTAAATAAATTGTGGTATATTAATGTTAATGGAATTCTTTTGTGCTGTAAGAAATGATGACCCGGAGGACTTCAGAAAAACCTGGAAAGGCTTATGAATTGAGGTTGAGTAAAGTGAGCAGAACCAGGAGGACGTTCTACACGGTAACGGTCACATTATATGCAGTGACTAACTTTGATGGACTTATTTCTTCTTAGCCATGCAAGGATCTAAGACAACTCCAAAGGTCTCATGATGGAAAATGCTGTCCACATCCAGAAAAAGAACTATGGAGTCTGAATGCAGATTGAAGTATATTATTTGCTCTTTCTTTCTGTCTCCTTTTTTTGTTTGTTTGTTTCTTTCTTTCTCATGGTTTTTCCCCTTGGTTTTAATTCTTCTTTACAACATGACTAATGTGAAAATGGTGTGGAGAAAGAAATGATGAAAGGAACAATTTCAGAAAAATCTGGAAAGTCTTTTATAAACTGATGCAGACTTAAGGGAGAAAAACAGTTTAGATAGTAACAACAACATAAAGACGAACAACCTTGAAAGACTTAAGAACTGTAATCTAATTAAGAAATCTAATCTATGACCAATCATGATGCTATGATTAAACATGTTACCTACCTCCAGAGAAAGAACTGACAGACCCAGGTTGCACATACGTACATACACACACACATATGCATATACACATATATACATACATAACAGATATATCATAGCCAATGCGGGAATTAATTTTGCTTTACTATGTATTTGTTATAAAAGTTGTCTTTGTCATCCTCCTTTCTTCCCTCCCCGCCATGCGGGGACGTTCCCCCCTCCCCGACCCCAGCCTCCCTGGAGGTAGAGTAGGAGAAAAAGTAGATTTTTTTGTTGTTGTTCAATGAAAAAAAATTTTTTTAATGAATCTGGATAATAATCTTTGAAAGACTTCTTTACTGTGATCAACACACTGACTCACTACAATTCCAAAAGACTTAGGATGAAACATTCTATACCTGTTTTCAAATAGAGTACTGAGTGCAGGTTGAAGCTCATTTTTTTCTCTTTTTCTGTGTGTGTGTGTGTGTGTGTGTGTGTGTGTCCGTCCACTTCAGGTCAGAAGGAAAGTAAAGCAAATAATTATGCATCTTCTTTAACATCATTTCTATCAATAATACCATATTAGTTCCTAATGTTGAAACATTTGACAGTGCCAAAGAACTCTAGTGGTTAGAACTTTCTTTTCCAAACCTTTAGTAGCTACAGTTGCTGCAGCATTTGCAGAGGAAATTTCCCCTCAAAGGTTGCTCCTTTGCCCTACATCTGTAGGGTCCAGTCTGGAAGCAGGTGGCTACTGTCCCTAGGAGAGTTAGTCAACTGTTAAGTCTTTTTTTTTGGTAATTTTAAAAAATTTTTATTTCACCAATTACCTGTTAACATTCATTTGTCTTTAATTTGAATTCCAAATTCTCTTCCTCCTTCCCTTTTTTCTACCTCCCTAAGATGGTAAGCTAAAGGTTATATATGTGCAGTCATGTAAAACATTTCCAAATTGTCATTTTGTGGAAGAAAACTCAAACAACAACCAAAAATAGAGAAAGTAAAAATTAGTATTCTTTAGTCTGCCCTCAGTCTCTATCAATTCTTTCTTTATAGGGGGATAGCATCTTTCATCATGAGTCCTTTGGGGTTATCTTAGATCATTGTATTGCTGAGAAGAGCTAAATCATTCACAGTTGTTCATTATACAGTATTGCTGGTGTTGTGTATGATGATCTGGTTCTGCTCACTTCACTCTGCATTAGTTCATGTTAGTCTTTCCAAGTTTCTCTGAAATCATCCTGTCTGTAATTTCTTATACCATAATAGTATTACAATATAATAATATTGTATTACAATCATATACCATAACTTGTTCAGCCATTGCCTAATTGATGGGCATCCCCTCAGTTTCCAATTCTTTGCCACCACAAAAAGGGCTGCTATAAATATTTTTGTACATATAGATCCTTTTCCTTTGATCTCTTTGGGAAACAGACTTAGTAGTGGTATTGCTGAATCAGAGGGTATGCACAGTTTCATAGCTCTTACTTTGGGCATACTTCCAAATTGCTCTCCAAAGTGGCTGGATCAGTTCACAACTCTACCAACAGTTCATCTTGACAGTGGTAGGCATGATGGATGACTTCTCTGTAAGATTTGCTATTCTCGGTGATTTCTATGAGGGCTAAGCTGGAAGCAAGGCCAGTGGTTTAAGGGGCACTGCTGTTCTTGGAGCTGCTGGGCTCAGGGTACTGGACTGTCTCCACTAGGGTCTAAGGTGTGGTTGTAGCCACGATGGTTTAGCTGGCCTGGCATATGATGTCATCTGTCATGCTCATTCACGTCAGAGATTATCACATATGTGATTTGTTAGCTTTGCAATTGGGAGTTGTTTCAGAACTATCATCAACTAACCTAATCCATCCTTTTCACTTGAAATATTGCCAATTTTGAAGCAATTATCTGAGCATCTGATTCTTTTAAGAATCTTTTTTGACAATTTCATATTATATTTATAAGAGAAGTTAGACAATTTTTCTCTGCCTGTAATGAAATTAAATTTTAGACTATCAGTGTCACACCAACTTTTAAAGCCACTGTATCTTAGGAATATCATATTCAAAATATTATCTCTGTTATGTTAGAATTTAATGGAGTACTTCAAAGCAGTGGACTTTATAACATGAACAACTCTTTGGTGTTTGCTTTTTCTTACAGGTATCTAAAAAGGTTTAAGGTGATGAAGATCAAAGTTCTGAGAAGCTGGTGCCGTCAGATTCTGAAAGGGCTTCAGTTTCTTCATACCCGAACACCACCTATTATTCATCGGGACCTTAAGTGTGACAACATCTTTATCACTGGCCCAACAGGATCAGTCAAGATTGGAGACCTGGGTCTGGCAACTCTGAAGCGGGCTTCTTTTGCCAAGAGTGTGATAGGTATGTTTCCAGTGTGCCTTGGAGTCTAGCTGGCCGCTCTGGCATTCTTTTATCTAGAGGCTTGGTCTTCTTGGCATGTTTTTCATTAAGTAAAGTCAATTAAAAAAAATTATTACTTGAGTATATGATTATTTCTGCTTACAAGGAGTGAACTCTTGGTAATTGTGCTTCTAGAAGCTTTTTAAAAAACATCTTGGATAGTATTGATATTTCAAAGTTTTCTGTGGTGATCAAGTACTTTGAATTTTTTTGACTTTTGTTAAGCAATTCAGTCAGCATTTGAGCAATACTTGTATGTTGAGGAAGTACAAAATGATATTAAAGAAATGGAACTTTAGTTGAATTCTGATTTTTTTTTTTACTGTGTATCTAAATAAATAGCCCATTTGATATGTTCAGCATTTGCTGTGAATGCAGCCTGGTTAGAAAATATTAAAATCACTGACCAAATGGTTTTATTGACCAGTTTTTCTCCCAGATCTCTGGAAGGAGTTAAGAGTCTGAAAAAGAAAATAAACTGTCCGTATCAGTCTTTTGGAGCAAGAAAAAGGAGGAGAAAGCACTCTGCTGTCTCTAATCATTCTCTCCTAAAGGCATAATCTCAGAAGGTTGCCATAGATTTTGAAATGTTTTCAAACCAGACAACTTTAAAAATCATCTGTTTCCCAGTTAGATCAGATTTTTAGATGTTCTTGGAAAAGGACAAGTAGAACACGTGGATTACTTTTTACATTTGCAAATGTCACCACAAGTATTAGATATTTGTCATGCTGTCATTTTTGTTTTATTGTTAATAATTAATAGGAGAATCTCAAATTGAGTTTTCCTAAAATTGGCCAGAAAAATATTTTGTTTGACATCTTCAAATCTTTGGCCTCATTCATACAGTGTACAGTTCCCTGTGGGAATGCACTGTAATTTAAAGAGTCTAGGATTAACCTTCCTTAAACACACTCTCTTATAACTCAATCTCTCTGTATTTCTGAGTATTTTTTTTGCCTGTAGGATGCCCTTCACTATATTTCCTGTATCTGCAGTAGGCTTATAATGTGTACTGCAGGTGTGATGGTAAGTATATGAACAAAAGGGCTCTGGTGAGTGGCCTTTGTGGACAATTTAATTTTAACTAATTCCTTGCAAATTTTTATTGAACACTGGGTTTTTCATTGCAAGGCCTTTATAAAGTGGAACTGAACAGATGGAATATATGAATGGTTAAGAGACTAGCTGGTAATTTTAATCAGTACTACTGCTTGGCAGCAGAGGGCAGCAGGTATTTAGAAATTTTTAGGGCAGGTAGGTGTTATACTTCATTTGTAGCCTTGCTGGCCCCTTACTTTTTTCTCTTCATTTATCATCAGTCTGAGTTATATTCAATTATAGCCATGGGCTTTATCTTGATTTTTCTTGTTCATTAAACTCATTTATGAGGCAACAAATATTTTTCCACTCTGTTCGTTATTTCTCATAAAGGCCTTGCAGTGCAGGACACCTATTAGTTACATTGATGCAACAGACTTAAGTAGGGTTCCTCCCTCATTTTTTGCTTCTACTTTTTCTTTTCTTTCACAGGTGGCCCCCTCTGCTTCTCCCTGCGGTGAGTAACGTCTGCTGCCTCTGCTCGAATTGAGACTGAATCGTTCTTTTAATTTAAGGTACCCCAGAGTTCATGGCCCCTGAGATGTACGAGGAAAAATATGATGAGTCCGTTGACGTGTATGCTTTTGGAATGTGCATGCTTGAGATGGCCACATCCGAATACCCTTATTCTGAGTGCCAAAATGCTGCGCAGATCTACCGTCGGGTGACCAGTGTAAGTTTGCCCCTGCATTTTGACCAATTCTTGAGCTTTTGCCATGTAGAGCAGGGATCTCAGGATGGATGATATCGCTTGATACAGTAAAGAAAAAAGTAAGACATGCTGAAAAGTTTAGGAGAAAAATATTGAAGCTTTTGCTTTTAGAACAGCATTCTAGTGAATGGTTTTCCCCCTTTCCTCCTAAAAAAAAAAAACCCAGCTCCTACTGAATTCTTACTTTGCCCATTTATACTGGGCCTTGCTTGTATTCAAGTAAATCCTGATAGAAGGTATAGTATCACTTGGAAAACATAAAAAGATTACAGAAAGATCATCACTTTTCTACATTGCAAATATCCTATCTTTTATACCCCATACCTCACCCAGGAAATTCAGTTTGATAATTTTTTAAGATCTATAAATTAGATCTTCTGAAAAATAGCAAATTTTTAGGTTTTAAATTCAGGATATTGTACCCAAGATTTGCTTGTCCAGTTTATCCTCAGTGATTTAGTTTAATTCACTCAACAAACATATATTGAGCTAGGTGCTAGATCCTAGTGATCATAAGTTAATAGCTGACTAGTGTTTAAATTGCCCTTGGCTACAGTGGTCTGCTAGCAGGGCTTTCCAGTACTGTCCAGTTGAGACATTTAACAAAATCATTAGGTAAATAATTACAAAACAGGTGAGGTAGTGTTAAAAGAGGTACTGTGATTTAAATGCATGACAGAAAGCATCAAAATTAAACCACGTGATTCTACTAAATTTTTAAGATACTAAAAAATGGTAACTGTGGTAATGATCAACATTTAGATTTTCTAGCTAGTAAGAATAGTATTCTTACAGATCTTTAATGAGAAGGAAAAACTTTGTCATATATGGGTTGTATGTGTTGGCTTTGATTTTTCCAAAAAAGATTGGGGACAGGAAAATTTTAGAGGACCATGATCATTTTGATATATGAATTTGCTGGAAAATAAGGGGTGTGCCCTGTGAATAGTTGATTGTTTTTCATGTTTTATGTAGCATAGTTGCATATTGGTAGCTAGTGTTCCAGAATTAAAATTTTAACTGTGTTGCAGTATATTCTGGAATATAGAACAAGAGAAGTCTTATAAATAGGTTGCTGCATTTAGGTTCAAAGAATAGTAGGATGAATTGATTTCTGTCCCCCCCCCCCCCCCATTTACCATCTAAATGTTTTTCAGTTCATTATTCATTCAGCAATCCAGCAATACGTATCTTGTAGGTTCTTAGTTAACATTTACATTAAAAGGTACTCTTAAGGCTTTGTCTCAACATGTGAATTTATAATACTATTTCATTAGGTTAATTCCTAGCTAAATGGTTTAACCACAAGGCTCAGTATTAAAATCTCTTCTCTTAATGGCTTGGTAAGGATGTCTTCTCAGCTTGAACCAGTGACATCCAGATCTTCATCCATAAACCTTAGTTTCTTATTTCTAGCTAAAATCAAATATACCATTTTTTAAAAATTTCCTTTTCTCCAATGCATTCCCCCACCCCACCCCCCAGTGGTAACATTATTCTCACAGACTTGTAACCTAAGAAAGAAGATTGAAATATAATACTCATCCTTTACTTCTTTCTTAAAATTGCTTTTCTTTGTAATTTCTTTATTGACTAATTCTGTTATTTATTAAATCATGATTATATTATCAAATGAACAAATAGTTCCTCATCCTAGCGAGCAAATAGATTAAAACTTGAAAGAAGACAACTTGCTTTAGAAGTTATACTGATGAAATGTGGCTAGAAATTTTCCAAGTTGTTTCTTATAAAAAGTTATTCCATTAATCATCTTCCTGTGAAAGGAAAGAGAACTGTACTTCTGTGGCCATTTCCTCACTTTTTCACAGACCTTCTTAGCTGTATAGAAAATCACATAAGGTGGAGAGACCCTAAAGGTCATCTAATCCAACCTGCAAGCCCATCTACAACATCCCTGACAAGTGTTTATCCAGGCTTTGTTCAAAGACCATATTCTCGTGGCTCGAATGTAGCCTGTCAAGGGTTTTTTGGGTCCTGACTCTGATAGCTACCATGTTAGCTAGCCTTCCCAGCTTTGGGTCTTATCAGATTTGATATGCCATCTCTGTCTTTATCCAACTCATTGTTTTAAAAAGTTTTTTTTTTTAAACAACAAAGAGCCAAGGAGATCCCTGGGGCACTGCACTGGAAACCTTCTGAGTTATACTCAATGTTCTGCTTGAGTGTTTTTGCCCAGGTAATCCATTATGCCTAGAATTTTGACCTTTCAGAGTCCTTGTCTTCCTTCAAGACTTAGTTCAAATGCCATATTTTTTCATACTCTCTTGATGGTGCTGGGATTTTTTTTTATGTATTTGTATCCCCAATATCTGACATCATGTTTTAAACGTAGCAGGTGTTTTGTTTTGTTTTGGCCCAGAAATGCAATTTCATCAATTTGAAGAATTCGGTGTAGAAACTCCCCCAACTGATGAAGATCTATAATTTGTTTTTACTAGAGTTGCTTAGGGGATTGAGTTTAAGTGACTAGACAGTTCACACAGCTGTTACATGTCAAAGGCAGAACTTGAGCCTAGATCTTTAAATCCAGGGCCAGCTCTCTCTCCATTCAGTAGATGCTTAATTGAGTGATAGAACTAGGTTCCTTAGTAGGTATCATAATGTTTCATGACTCTATTAGCTTTAGAAATGAAGGAGACTTCATTCCTTCAATCTATAGTACAGGAGCAGCTAAGTGGTGCAGTGGATAGAGCATCATCCTTGGAGTCATCCTCAGACATTTGACACTTATTAGCTGTGTGACCCTGGGCAAGTCACTTAACCCCATTGCCTAGCCAAAAAACAAAAACAGAAAGAACAAATAGTACAGTAGTGACATAGAAGATACAAATGCAAATGTTTTAATCATGTATTCCCACAACCGTTTTCAAAACTTTAATGAACTTATTCAGCCATTCCCCAGTTGATGGGCATTTCCTCAATTTCTAATTCTTTGCCCCCAGAAAAGAGCTGCTATAAATATTTTTGTACATATAGATCCTTTTCTTTTTTGTTTTTATCGCTTTTGGGATACAGACCTAGTGGTATTGCTAGGTCAGAGGATATATATAATTTTATAGCCCTTTGGGCATAGTTCCAAATTGCTGTACAGAATGGTTGAATCATTTCACAATTCCACCAATAGTGCCTTAATGTCTCATTTTTCCCACATCCCCTCCAATATTATTAGGCAATCTAATAGGTATGAGATAGTACCTCAGAATTGTTTTAATTTGTATTTCCCTAATCAATAGTGAGTTAAAAGTATTTTTTCATGGCTATATATAGCTTTGATAACTTCATCTGAAAACTGGTCATAAAAGATATGATCATTTATCAATTGGGGAATGGCTGAACAAGTTTTAGTATGTAATTGTAAAGGAATACTTTGTACTATAAGAAATGATGAGCAGGATCCTCTCAGAAAAACCTGGAAAGATTTTCAAGGGTTGATGCAAAGTGAAATGTACTGTGTCCAAGTAACAGCAGTATTGCAAGATGATCAGTTATGAATGACTTGGCTATTCTCAGCAATACAATGATCTAAGACAACTCTGAAGGACTTATGATGAAAAATGCTGTCCATCCTCAGAGAAAGAATTGATGGTGCCTGAATACAGATTGAAACATACTTTTTTTACTTTATTTTTCTTTCTTTTTTTTTTGCTTGTTGATATTTTAGTAATTTATTTTGATTTATCAACAATCACTTCCATAAGCTTTTGAGCTTTAAATTTTTCTCCCCTTCCCTCCTTCTTTCTCTCCTTCTCTCTCTTCCTCCCTAAGACAGCTTGCAATCTAACATAGGCTGTACATATACATTCCTATTAAACATTTTCACATTAGTGGTGTTGTAAGGAAGAATTAGAAGCAATAGGAGGAACCATCAGAAAGAGGAAACAAAACACAAGTATGCTTCAATCTGCATTCAAACTCCATAGTTCTTTCTTTGGATGTGGATAGCATTTTCCATCATGAGACTTTTGGGGATGTCTTAGATCCTTGCATTGCTGAGAAGGGCTAAGTCTGTCAACGTTAGTCATCACACAATGTGGCTGTTACTGCGTACAATATTCTCCTGGTTCTGCTCAGCATCAGTCCATACAAGTCTTTGGGGGTTTTTTGGGGTTTTTTGGCTAGGCAATGGGATTAAGTGACTTGCCCAGGGTCACACAGCTAGGAAGTGTTATGTGTCTGAGGCCAGATTTGAACTCGGGTCCTCCTGACCTCAGGGCCAGTGCTCTATCCACTGTGCCACCTAGCTGCCCCCCATACAAGTCTTTCAAGGTTTTTTTGAAGTTAACTTTATTTTTCTTGAGGTTTTTTGTTTTTTGTTTTTGTCTGTTTTCTTTCTGCGCATGACTACACATGTATAACTAATATTGAATTGTTTGCCTTCTTTATTGAGGGGGGAGAGGAAAGGAGAGAATTTGGAACTCAAATTTTTAAAAACAAATGTCAATTGGTTTTATGTGTAAGTGGGGGAAAATAAAACAGTAAATGAAAGGGAAAAAAAATTTTAGTGAAGACAACACATTTGAGATTAACACACACACACACACACACACACACACACACACACACACACACACACACACACACACACACACACACACACACACACACACACCACACACATTGCAATGTAAGTACACCAGGAGCCTGTTGACCTGCATTAGTTAGATAGATGTTTGCTATCAGATAGGCAATCATCTAGTCTCTACATCTGAACCTGTGATAGCATTCATTCTGCTGTGAAGAACAGAAGCCTTCACTCTTTCCATGTTTTTAAGAGCAGAATTAAGGTGTGATTTTAATGTTTGGTTTGGTATTGTTTTCAGCATAGTCATCCATGTATGCACCTAATAGAAATTACCCTTTTTCAAGTAGCCCCAACTACACAGCACAACATAAATTCTGTTGCACTGGTTTCTACTTACAGGAGTTTGTGGACCAATATC